TTTCACTCCCGGTCCCATCACATGATCCCCTTTCCAGCGTCCCGGAACTCAACCCTCAGGGAGACCACGGATTCCTAGAAATGGAACACCGGCGTCCAGGTGTCAGCCTTGCCGCTGTCCCCACCCACTGCCACCGGGACTCAGGCTGCCGGTGTTTCCCCCAGGTGCCTGGCTTGCCAGGTCAGAGAGCCTCACTCACGCCCTGCACGCTCTCCCGTGCTGGCCCTGCTCTGGGTCCCTCAGCCCTCACCCGTCCGTCTGGTCCTTTGGTGGGGACCCCTCCCGTCACCCAGCTGTCCCAAACTTTCTTGGGGTCCTCTTCACATCCACTGCGAGGGCACAGCTTTCCGAACCCCTGAGGTTCCCCGCTTAATCTCTCTCGGTCTTAGTCTCCCTGGGGTCCCCCTCCTTCATTCCACTCGGCTGCCTGGGTCCTCCCAAGTTCATTTGCTCAGTCTGCAGTCCCGGGCCCTCTCAGTGTCTCCTCGGCTCACGGCACGGCTCCGGTCCCTCTCTGGGTCCGGTCCGCTCTTCTCCCCGGTCCATGTGGGGCGGATCTCCTGGCTCGTCCCGCCGTCGCAGTCCCTGCGGGCTCCTCTCTCCAGGTCTCCTCGCTAATCCCACCGCCCAGTCCCGTCTCGGGGTCCCCCCCTCACTGCCCGTCCCGGTCCTCCCCGGCCCCCCGAAGCCCGGGCAGACAGACCCGCTAGCAGCTCCGCGGGCGGGATGCTCGCTGCGCCGGGTGCCCGCGCCCGGGGCTCCGGCTGTCACTCTGGCGCCCGCGCGCTCGCTCTCACCTCAGCCTTGTCACCCGCGGCCCCGGCGCCGCCGCCTCCCCGTCGCTCGTGCCGGGAGCCGCTCTCGCGCTGGGTCCCCGCGCGCAGCCTCCGCTCGCCAGCCCGCGTCGCGCCCCGCTCTCCGCGCACGCAGGACCCTCGCTCCTGCCGCCGCCGCCGCTGCTGTCCGAGGTGCGGCTCCGCCAGGGGTGGCCAATCGCACCCGACCGCGCGGAGCGCGCCCCGCCCCCGCTCGGCTCCGCCCCCGTCCCCGCCCCCAGCCGCACTCTGATAGGCTCTCCACTGACCTTCCCTGCTCGCCGGCCTCGGGGCCCTCGGCTCATGTAGGCGTCCTATTGGCCTTCCCCGGGAAGCCCGAGCGGTCGATGGATCCAGGGGATTGGCGGAGCTGGGGAGGTGGGCGGGTCCGGTGGGCGGGGCTCTCTCAAACGCGGAAGCTCTCTCAATCTGGGTTACCCGTGGCCCTCCTCGGGTGCGGCCGGGCTTGTTTGTGCAGCGCACCGGGCAGAGTTCGTGCATCTCTTCGCCATGCCTTGACTTTTCTTGGGAGACCACCGTGGGAGAGCATGTGGGGCGGATCGGGTCCCTCAGGTCTCTCGCTGGACCTTTCACAACGCCTAGTCACCCAGAAGGCAAGCTTTCCTCCTGGGGGCTTGTAAATATTTCCTAGTTCTCAGACTGGGGAATTGCGTTTTCTTTCCTTATATTCAGTGGACGTCAGTTTGCTGCTGGAGATGGGAAAAAAAAAAAGAAAAAAAAACAAAAAACAAAAAATAAAAACTGTAGACCAGATAAACACAGACAGCTAAGTACTTAACATGGTCTGGACACATTTTGAAAAGTCAAGCCTTTCCACTCATGGCGGGATGTGATGTGACCACCAATAATAACTCTGCAGGCAGAGGCAGGAAGATCGCCTTAAGTTGTTTGAGTCCAGCCTTGGGTAGATAGCTGTCACAAAAGAAAAAAAAAAAATTGAAAAAAAAAATCAAGGAGTTGGAGTAGGGGGACCCCGTTGTCTCTGGCAAGGTTCCAGCAAGCATATTCCACTGGGCCTCTTTCAGGGCCACAGGCTTTAAAGAAACAAAGGTGTCGGGACACTGAGTTCTGCCCCCTGGATCCATCCTGAGCCACGCTGAAGCATAGCGTTTGCCAGGGATTAAAGTGCACCAGGACCCGTCTCATATTTTTGTGGAAATGCCTATGTTGTTTCGGTTAACAGTAGAAGCTCAAAACAGTTTTCTGCAGGAGCACATTTCCAGCCTAGGCCTTGGCAGACATAGACCTTATCTCTTGGTAAACGCTCTACAAACTTTTTGTCTTATTTATTTGTTTATCTGAGATTGGGTCTCACTGTGTAGCTCAGGCCTAGAACTCTCTGTGTAGACAGATTGGCCTTGGACTCACAGAGATCTATCTGCCTGCCCCTGACTTGTCGCGGCCACCACACCCCACCCTCCTTTTAAACATGTCAGAAAACTTCCTTTTTCCACGGAGTTCTATCCCCCCCAGCCCAAATCTGCATCCTAAACAGTGTCTGTTTGTAACTCAAACTTCATCCCAACCACACTGGGCACCTTTAAAATCTGGATGGTGGGAACACACACAGAGGCTCCAGGCTTTGAGTTTCCAGCCCAGTTCTGATGTAGGTGTTTCCTAAGCAGGCTGCCTGACTACCACGTTAGGGAGAGAAAGTATTGGTGGATTTAAAGGGTAGAATAAAACTTAGCCTTTATAGGCAAATTTGACCTAAGGAGCACATGAATACATAGAGAATAAAAGTTGGACAAGCCTGAAGTCACAAGGGATTTTTAAAATGTAGTTTCCATGTTCCAGAAGAGCACTTAGGGAATTGCTCACCGGGCCAGTTCTATAGTCTCTGTGGAAGAAAAGGGGTAAACTGTCATCAACTGTATCTCTGTAATGCACATACAACAGTAATGCATGACTATTAACACTATTATGCAGGCTGTGCAATCAGGGAGACAGAAATAAATGCAAGCGAGATTACAAAAGAAGGGCCCAGCTTCTTGTAACCATTTAGTAACAAAACCAACTACTTTTTGATTCATTGTATCAATGAATTCTGATTTCAAAAATGTTGCCCTTCATCCCCCCCCTTTGTGAATAGCATTACTAATGGGATTACCAGTCCCTCAATGTGAGTTCAGATAGTTGATATGTGATCCAACACACACACACACACACACACACACACACACGGACACACACACGGACACACACAGACACACACGAAGCCAACCCCATCCTCTGCAGGAGAGACCTCTGGGCAAACCCCTGCTGAGGCTGAGGTTGAAGAAAGACTCTTGTTGAGAAGGGGTTTCATATACCAGGACTTCTGGGAAACTCATCCTAGCATCGCACCCTGGAAATTCTTGCATTTCACACAGCGGAAATATCTCTTACAAAGAGAGCCAAGATTTAATTAAAACAAGGTAGTAAATAGGAGATGTCAGAATGAATGGGACTGAGAACAAGTGTTCTCCTTTTTAGAAGTCTCTGGGGCCAATTTGGAAATAAATCTGATCACAAAGGCTGTGAGGGCCAGAAGACTGCCTTTCACTGCGTTCACATCTGCCCTGCTTTGTTACTTCTGCCCTTTTCCCTGTAGATTTAACTCAATGAATGGGGTTACTGTGGCCACATCGTCCCCACCTCCTGGCATTAGGAATTGAAGCTAGGGTCTTCAGCATACCAGGCAAGTGCTTTACCCAGAGGCATCCATGGTCCTCATTTTTATTTTTGCTTTCAGATATGGTCTCAATAAGATGGCTGACCTCAATTTTGCTGTTCCTCTTGTGTTTCTCTTTGTGAGTAGCTGGGATTGTAGTCTTGACCCCCTAGGCAGAGCCTACATTATTTATTTATTTATTTATTTATTTATTTATTTATTTATTTATTTATTTTGGGTTTTCGAGACAAGGTTTCTATGTCCTGGAACTCACTCATTATCTATCTATCTGTCTATCTAAGTTTTGTGACACAGGGTTTCTCTGTGTAGTCAGTCCTGGAGCTCACTTTGTAGATCAGGTTGGCCTTGTAGAGATTCACCTGCCTCTGCCTCCTGAGTGCTGGGAGTTAAAGGCATGTGCCACCACTGCCCAGTTTTTTTTTTTTTTTTTTTTTTTTTTTTTTTTTTTTAAAGCAAATTGTAACACTGCATTCCTATTCCTCTTCTGGGGTAGGGGATCCTCCCACAGCCACAAAAATTAACACATGCAGAAACTCAGTTTTCTTGTTTTTTTTTTTTGTCTTTTTATTCTCATTTCACAGTTTTTCTGTATAGCCCAGGCTGTCCTGGAACTCCCTTTGCAGGCCAGGCTGGCTTCAAACTCAGAGATCTGCCCACCCTGTGCTGGGACTAAGGGAGTGTGCTAGTATGCCCTTCGTTGACTTTGAATTTTAGCCAACGTAATTCCTGTAGGGAAATGCTTTATTTGCTCACTTGAAAATTAACAGGTTATATAGGTACTGGTTTAGGCAAAAATACCTTAAAAATTACATTCGAGAAAACGCGAGGCAGCTGTCCCATGGGCAGTCTGGACGTGGAATTCTAAACTGATGCCACCGTTTTCTTGTTCTGTTTTTTTTTTTTTTTTTTTTTTTTTGGAATGGAAAATGAATGGAGAATAGTTCTTTGATCATTGTCAAATCAGGAAAACAGCTTACCCGGGAAAATCTATTCACAAGAAAGCACTAGGAAGGCCTGGGTACACTGGGCTCATAAGTTTACCCGACTGGGGGACGGAATGGCAGCAGCTTGCCTCTATTTTAATTCTTAAGCCCTCACTAAGGCAGGGGCGGAAGCAGACTCCCCATTTTCTGTACCACACACACTCTGGCTGTGCAGGCTTCCACACCCACCAAGGGGACCGTGGATGCGGGTCACCTGCTTGAGACCATGCCGCCCATCCAGGGCTTTGCAAAGCCTCCGCCCATCATCAGGTCGGCTCCCATCCCCATCCACACTTTAGTTCTGACTCCGGGCGCCGCCTGGCGGCCGTCTCCGGAAGTGCCCTGCCAACCTCGGGGGCCCTGGCCGCAGGCAGGGGCTGCCCACGGATATGCCTGAGTGCAGCGACGCCTGCCTTCGCCCCTCTTCCGTGGCCCAGCCGATCGAGCATTCTTAAGAAGGCGATGAAGGAGGCGCCGCCGTGCGAGAGAACTCCGAGCCCGGCGTCTCAGCCCTCGCCTCGAGGATGGCGGGATCAGGCTGTCTCCCGGCAGCCTCCGACCCGGAAGTGGCCGGCCGCGCGAGGCCCCCGTTGCCCAGCGCGGGCGCCGGGGGCGGAGCTCGGCACCGACGGGGACCGGGCGTCCGCGGCTGGGGCTCCGCGAGGTGGGGGCCGTCCCGGGCGCAGGCAGGCGGCCGCGATCTCCGCGGGACACCTTCCGCCGCGGCCCGAGGCGGCGGCGACATGAGCGCCGCGGGGCTGCTGGCTCCGGCGCCCGCCCCGGCTGCAGCGCCGCCCGCCCCGGAGTACTACCCCGAGGACGACGAGGAGCTGGAGAGCGCCGAGGACGACGAGCGCAGCTGCCGGGGCCGCGAGTCCGACGAAGGTGCGGACCCCCCCCCTCCCCGGGCTGGGATCGGAGCCCGGGGGCGCAGGGGCAGGGGCAGGGCTCGCCGGGAGCTCCCGAGAGCCAGGGGTCCCTGTAAGCCGCGCCCCACCCCCGGCTCCGCGTCCCAGGTCCCCTCTGCACGGCCATCCCTGGGATGCCCCAGCTTCCCTCCCCGGCGTGCTACCCCACCCGGCTTTGTGCCTCTTAAGCTGCCCCCGCCGCCTGGTTACCCACCTGCTTGCGGGCGGGGTGGCGGTGTGGAGTCCTCGCCTCCTGGGTCGGTGTGCGGAGGGTTAAATGAATGAAGTTCTGGTGGCCGCCGAGAAGTAGACGCCAAGGTTGCGGGGCCGGCGGCGGGGAGGGGAGGGGAGGGGGCCGGGAGAGGGGTGGGGTGGGGTGGGGGTGTCGGTCCGGATTCGTCTTCAGTCCCCGAGTGTTTTGCATCTGTGTTTTCGCTCCTCGGGGCTGGCTTCGCCTCTCAGCCTGGACTTTGTTTACTCCCGTGGCTAGCGCGAGGGACACCCTAGAGAGACTGAGGACGGAGAAGCTTGGTAGAGAGGTGCCCCCCCCCGGGGTTGGCGGGGGTGGGAGCGGGGCGGCCTTTGTATGAGTGGAGTGTAGGATGCTGGCACAAAGTCGGGCTGTAAAAAGCAAAAGCTACTTCAGCTGTCTGCTAGGGGGATCGCTTTACTGGTCTCACTTAGTCTCTCTAGTGCCAAGGGACGTAGCTGACTGGCACTAGGCAGGACCTCTGTGAAAGTGCCCACCCCCAAAAAAGCAGCGTTCGCAAAAGCAGAAAGTTGACGGAACTGATTGGTTTTGGTTTAACCGAAGAAGGCAAGGCTTAACCAGGGATTTCGAAATGTGAAACGCTGCATTGCTTTTAATGACCACGAGGGGGCGCAGAGAAGACAAAATTGATCCCCTTCCACATAGGGGCTATTGGTTTCTATTTGCTCAAGACCAGTTTAAATTATTATTATTCTTCTATCTAATATATTTGGGAGCCTATAGAAATCGTCAGCCGTTTAGGGCGCTTACTGATTTTTCAGAGGATCCAGGTCTATATATAACTCCAGCTCCAGGGGACCTAGTGCCTGCTGACCTCCGGCCTCTGTGGGTTCCAGGCATTGCAAGTGCTGCACCCACATGCAGACAGAAATGAAATAAACGTAATTGGAAATGTTTTCCTTAGATTTTTGTTTATGTGTATGTCTGTGTATCTGAGTTTATATATGCACCACGTATGTACAGTTGCCCTTTGAAACCAGAAGAGGGCGCCAGATCTGGAACTGGAGTTACTGGGCAGCGTAAACCATTTGATGTGGATGTTGGGGAACCAATCCTGTATCCTGTGCAAAGAACAGCTTTTTTCACTATCCTGAGCCGTGCCTCCAGCCCGTTTTTAAATCTGTTTTTCACCATGCAAACTTTTGGGACAACTTTTAAATTTTATTTATTTATTTGGTTGGTTGGATGGATGGATGGATGGATGGTTTTTTTCAAGATGTTTCTCAGTGTGACAGCTCTGTCCTGGAACTCGCTGTGTAGACCAGGCTGGCTTCAAACTGACAGAGACCCACCTGTCCCTGCCTCCTGAGTATTGGGACTGAAGGTGAGCGCCACCACCATCTGGCTTGAACAATTTTTTAAAAATTAATCTTCCTCTTCTCCTGTTTTTTTTTTTTTTTTTTTTTTTTTTCCTTTCTTTTTTTAATCTGCTAACTTTGCAAACATACCAGTTGGGGGGAGGTTGCTGTTTTTTTTTTTTTTTTTAAGATTTATTTATTTTTTATTTACACAGTGTTCTGTCTGCATGTATACCTGCTGGTCAGAGGCCAGAAGGGGGCACCAGATCTCATTACAGATGGCTGTGAGCTACCATGTGGTTTCTGGGAATTGAACTCAGGACCTCTGGAAGAGCAGCCAGTGCTCTTAACCTCTGAGCCATCTCTCCAGCCCAGTCGGTCTTCTTTTTATTGTATATATCTAATGTGTGGTGGGATGAGCATGTGCATGCCCAGGTCCTCTCTGTGTACACTGTTTCCCTGAGGCCTCCGTGCGGACTGCCTGTCCGGTGCGGCCTCTTCTCTGACTGTACGTCACACAAAAGCAGATTCTCCGCATAAACCCACGTTTGCTATACTTGTTTTTGCTAGTAGGCTCATGCCGGCCCACAGAGGGTGGAAATTTATTATTCTCCCAGGCGCCCGTTGATTATGCTGTCACGATACCAGTTCTGTGACTTTTGACCTCAGCCGTCCCTTCTTCCCTCGCTTCACACAGACACCGAGGACGCGAGCGAGACAGACCTGGCGAAGCACGATGAGGAAGACTACGTGGAGATGAAGGAACAGTGAGTCGGGCTTTGTGCCTTTTCCCTCAGGACCACAGAGTCCATTCAGTCTTCACAGAGACCCTCATTTTGACTTTAGTGCTTGCAAAGCTTACGTTTCCTTCTCATGTTTCAGAAACAGTTTTTTGTTTGTTTTTTAAGATCCATTTATTTTTCTTTCTTGTGTATGGGTGTTTTACCTGCCTGTTGTGTACCACATTTGCAGTGCCCTCAGAGGCCAGAAGAGGGTGTTGGATCCTGTGGAGCTGGAGTTTCAGACTGCTCTCAGCTGCCACATGGGGCAGGAACCGAACCCAGGACCTCTGGAAGAGCAGGCAATGCTCTTACCCCTTGAGTCACCGCTCCAGCCCCCTCAGCAGCAGTTTTAGAGATGGGCTTTAGATTGACCTTGCCTCCGTCATGCTTCCGAAGCGAGGTAGCCATTGTGATGACAGCCGGAGACTCCTAGTCACGAGGAGCATGAGCTGCACACTAGGGTTTGCCATGAAAGAGGGGTTGGTTGGTATGGGCTCCCACTCAGGCCTCTCACTGTTCTGCAAGAGGTGGCTTGAGTTGTCAGCCTTCGTGAGGGATGGAGAGTTTGAAGGGTATGCTCTTAGGCATTTGCTGTTGCTGTTGTCCTGGGAAGTGGGTGTTTTCCATGTAGAGGCGAAAGCATTGCCCCAGATGTGGCAGGCCTGGAATTCACAGCTCAGACAGACCCGCTGGTGGGTGTGGCTGCCCGTAACGCCTCTGTGTGAGCGGTGAGAAGAACAGGAACGTTGCTCCGTGTGTTCTGTGCTCTGCCCAGCTGGGACTGCAGAGCCATCCTGCAGTTTAACTTTTGAGCCTGAGTTGGCATTGTGTTTCTGATCCTGAAGATGCAGTGGCTTTAAAGAGACACAAGGGTTGGCTGAGGATGTCTCCTTATACCCTGTGCTGTGTGTAGAGGAGTTGTGCTAAGGATGTCTCACACTGTGCTGTGTGTAGAGGAGGTGCTGAGGATGCCGTATACACTGCTGTGTGTAGAGGAGTTGTGCTGAGGATGTCTCACACTGTGCTGTGTGTAGAGGAGTTGTGCTAAGGATGTCTCCTTATCCCACCACCATCCACGATCCTTTTGGAAATTATGCTTTTGTGTGTTTGTTTTGTGCCTTGAGAGGGTTATGCCACCCTGAACTGTAGGAGTTGGTTCTCTCCTCCCATCGTGTTGGCTCAGGGGTGGAACTCAGGTCATTGGGCCTGGTGACAAGTGCCCCTACCCTCTGAGCCATCTCCTCAGTCCCTTTGCCATTTATAATTTAATTGTAGGGTTGATACAGGAATTGTGTTTAACCTCATTCTGCACCTGAAATCCCAGAGAGTAGTACTTTCTCCCGACATTTTTGGTGGGCTCTGGCATGTGTTAATGAGCTCTTGCTTACCCCTCGCTGTAGGTATGTATTAATGCTGCAGCTCTCACTTTCGGGGGGCTCACCCTGCTTTCCAGGATTGTACACCCTGCAGGGGCATGTCTCTTTGTGATCGCTTTACCTCAAACCTCTCAACCAGGCTTCCCTTCTCTGATGGTGTGTCCCCAGGGCAGCCTGGGCCTGCCCGTGCCGAGCGAGAGCTGAGTTCGTCCTCTCTTACAGGATGTACCAGGACAAACTGGCGTCTTTGAAGAGGCAACTGCAGCAGCTACAGGAAGGTATGTGTGGGGCTGGCCCGTGCCTCCGCAGCGCCCGGGCCACAAGTCCAGAGTTTTCCTTCTGTCTGGGAGCATGGGCGAGGGTCGAGTCTGGCTTGTGTTAGCCCTCTGGTACAAATTCTTATCAAAAAAGTAAGTTCCTGACTTTTATCCTTCACTGTTTTCAGTATGGAACAAATGCTTGAAGTTTCCCATGGGTCCTCAAGGCACCATGTCTAAGATAGACTTTATTTTCTTAAGTGGGCCAGCAAGATGGCTCAGGGAGTAAAGGAGCTTGGTGTCAGACCTGGTGACATGCTGGTGATACCACAGTTCACATGGCAGGAGGAGAGAACTCCAAAAGATGACCCCCGGCCTCCAGATACATGGAGGCATGCAGGCATGCACACAAATGGAAAAACATTTTTAAGCAAGAAAGACATCGTTATTGAAGGAGCTGAGTTTCCCTCCTTCCTAAGCCAAGCCCCCGCCTCACCACACTGCTCTCTTGGTAAATTGTAAGTGCCCATGTCTTGCCAGTACAGTGCCATTAAAGGCTTGGCAGCCTGAGACTGAGAGCCAGCTCCTCGAGTTCTATGACAAGCTTGCAACCCAGTGTCACTGCTCTCAAAGGCATGTGACTTTGGGGCATGCCCCATCTCTTGCTTCATCTACAAAGTGAAGGGAAAAGGGCCCCGGAGCAGAGCGTTGGCCGTGTGTGAGCCCAGGCGGATTAGCTGCTGTCTCTGCAGTCCACCGTAGGGTCCCTGTCAGTGCCATTCCTTCCCAGATGGGCGCCTCCTACAGATGGGGGCATGACAGCCGCCTTGGGGAGGGATGGAGGGGCAGAGGTGTCAGGGTTGTGTCTGCTCCGGCTGACATGACTAAGTCTCATTGAACTGATTAAAATTAGAGACCGCTTGCTCGGTTGTATTGATCGAGTTTCAGTGCTGAAGTAGCCCCCACATGGCTACTGGCCACTGTATGGGACATCTCAAAGGTAGAGATTCCCACCATTACAGAAAGGTCTCCTGGGTAGCCTGGACCTAGACCTCACTGCAAGAGGGATGAGCCTTTTCCAGGAGAGTGGGGCCCATTGTCTTATTCTGTAGGAGCCTGTGATCAGCATTACCTCCTGGGTGTCTGATGGAGAGCTGCTCCGGGACTGTCTGTCCGCTGTGAGCCTCTCCTTTTCTCTGGTGCAGCTCTCTAGGCCTGCTCTGGAAGCTAGAGAGTGACTTGGGGCATGTGCAGGGTGGGCTGGTTGTCTGAGTCGCTGCTTTGTGAATGCCCCATCAGGTACCTTGCAGGAATACCAGAAGAGGATGAAGAAGCTGGACCAACAGTACAGAGAGAGGATCCGCAACGCAGGTAGGCTCCAGTGTGCACATGCACCGCATGCCTCCCGCTTGGCCATGCTCGTAGAGTGCCAAGAGTTGTTCTCCAGAACACACGCGCATCTTCCACTAGCTGGAGGGAAGAGAGGTGAGGGGAAGGGGTCCACCAAGGCTGCAGTTACGTCAGGTTGTGCACCTACCCTCCAGGAGTTGAGGCCGTCACGGCTGCTCCTGAGTCGCTGCTGTGGAAGGGGCTGTAGTTGACTGTGCCTGTGGTTAGCGTGGTTTCCTCTGTACCCGACAGGAGGGTTACAGAAGTGTTTCAGGCACTGAGTGGTATAGAACGCTTTTGGTCTGCTCTACATAGTGTGTGCTCAGCGTGTTCGAACATCTGTGCACATCGGTACTCTGAGCAGTGTGATGTCACCAGAACTTGTCTGTGGCTTTCATTGGTCAAGAATAGCTGCCTACAGGAAATTAACCAACGACAGGGGTTAAAGAAGCATGCAGCAGGCCCCCATGCCCACACTTTACCCCGGCCGGAGGGACCCTGGCTTCCGGGATGAGTGGCTTCTTTGCTGAGTGCTTTTCCTCAGACACCATATCCGGGCTCTTAGTCTGAGTTCTGGAAGTCCAAAAGCTCCATGGCACGTGTGTGAGTGTGCTTGTCACAGGGAAATGGGATTTGAGGCTTTCCAGGGAGACCATGGGACTTGTGACACCCAGAAATTTCTAGTCTTTATGAACCAAATGCACAGTAGGCCCATACTGACCCAGAAAAGACGGGAGTCACAGACATGTTTTGTTTGAAGTGCTGGCTTTATCAGACCGTACAGAGGTGGAGGCTGCTGGGCTGTGTCACGGTCTGTAGGAGAACGGAACTGACCGAATGGGCATCCACGGAAAAGGAGATCTATTAGAGTGGCTTGTGGGCTGTGGTCCAGCTAGTCTTAACGCTGGCTGTCTCCCAATGGAAGGTCTGAGACGCCAGCAGTTGCAGGAGGCTGGTTATCTCAGCCGCTCTTCAGTTTATGGTGGACTCCGGAAGAAGTGGGCTGTAATGGCAGTGAAGGAATGGATTTGCCATGAGATCGAGGGCAAGCAAGCAGAGTGCAAGCCTCCTTCTCCCATGTCCTTTCTATGGGCGGCCACCAAAAGGTATGGGCCAGATTAAAGGCGGATCTTCCCACTTCAGAAGGGTTAAGAATTGCTCACAAGTGTGCCCAGCCGCTTAGGTTTTAGTTAATTCTAGACATAGTCAGGTTGACCACCACGAGTAGCCATCATGTAGGTAAACAGTTAATAATTGTCTGGCACTCAGTAGGATCGAGGAAGCTTAGCCTAGGGCTTGATGAATTTGGGTCTGTCAGGGAAGGCCTCAGAGTTAAGTCCCAGCTGAGCCCAGACCCGCGTCCTGTGGATGCTCTGGAGGCGTCCTGCCCACTATGAAGTCTCCCATGTGGACTCTCCCTCTCAGGTGACTCTTGAGTCTCACTGGGCTGTCCTCTGGGTGGGCCTGAGTGAGAGGACAGCTTTGCATTTTGCCAGGCTGCTCGAGTAGAACCTGAGACTCTCGGCGAACCCTGACACCCTTTTTCTCTCTTTCAGAACTCTTCCTCCAGCTGGAAGTAAGTACCCGGGGATCTTTGGGGTCTGCAGGCTCCTTCTGAGGCTGCGGTCTGACTCTTGCTCTGCCGGCCTTCCTTCTGTGAGCAAGTGTGCGGTTTGGAAAGTTTCGCCACCATCTGCTCGAGGCAGGGATGCTTAGAGTCTGCTGAGACCCTCGGCCACGCACGAGCGTGTGCAGCTGGGACGCCAGGCCTCACTGTCCCGTGTTTTCTCCGTGTTTTCTTATTTAAGATCTAATTTATATATGTGTGTGTCAGTGAGTGAGCACATATGTGGGTGCCTCGGAGGCCAGAAGAAGGTGCTGGATCCGCCGAAGCTGAGGTTACAGGCGTGGGTGCTGGGAACCAGGCTCGGGGCTCTTGGATGAGCAGCCACCTCCTTAGCACTGACCATCTGTCTCTCCAGACCACAGCCTGCCCCTTGACCTTTACGTCACATTGCGACCATTCGAAGTATCTCAGGACTCTGTTGCCTGACGATTTGCTGGCACTGCCCCCCCTCCCCCAACCCAGTTGGCCCCACAGATTCATCTTTACGCTGGGACCTCACTGGGTCTCAGCCAGGCAGAGCGTTCGCTCCAGCCATACAGTCCCCAGTCATCACCCAGGACGTGGGCAAGGGCGAGGTCTCGCAAGTGGGCTTTTAGGCAGTTTTTTATTTTTTTAATAGCTTAACTTTGGCGCTTGAGTACCTGAAGGTTCAGGCGCCTGATGAATGGTCTGTAGTAGCTTTTGTTCTTAGGGATCAAACATAATAGCACAGCTGTCTGGCTTCGCTATCATGTAATTAATTCTGAATGCAGGAACTTCTTTTGGAATGGGCTCTTTTCCCTTGAAACCGTGTCCTTCCAAGAGGGACCCCTTGCTAGCTTGGAGAGACTCAGGTTCTGTGATGACTAAAGCCTCAGACTTAGGACGGGCGGGGGGGGGGGGGGGAGAGGAGGGGCCCGGGTGACAATGAGGTTCCTTGGAGTGAGCACTATTGCATGGCTGGGTTTGGAGCACCTGGAATTGTCCCCAAGACCCCACAGGTCAGTGTGGGTGACCTGAGGTCTCAGGCTTTCTCTGCTTCTGAGGTCAGAGCCATCATCGGGCTGTCACCTGCGGCCACACCACCCCAGCCCTGGCCTCTCTTTGCTCAGACTGAACAGGTGGAAAGGAACTATATTAAAGAGAAGAAGGCAGCGGTAAAGGAGTTTGAAGACAAGAAGGTGGAGTTGAAGGAGAACCTGATCGCTGAGCTCGAGGAGAAGAAGAAGATGATTGAGAACGAGAAGCTCACGATGGAGCTGACCGGAGGTACAGAAGCTGGGCGTGGGGGCTGCCTTAGTCCCTCCCCTGCTCACACCTTGGAAGCTTCGAGGTGCTGGAGAGCAGGCTTCCTGACCAAGTCAGCATTTCACCCCCTCCCCGAACCACCTGGGGACTTGGTCAGGCTGCTTAGCTTCCTCCTGTAGAGGGTCAAAGGCCACCTCCTCTTAGGAGTGTGACTCTGGGTGTCCGTACATGACAGGCAGGCCTTAAGCAGGCCGTCCAGTTGCAGGCTCTGGCTGGGCCTTACTGGTTGGTGCCTTGTCTCTTACATTTCCAAGTTTCTTACCATGTGACCTGGAGATTGCCTTGACTACAACAGTTGGAGAAAGGGCGTGTGTCCTGCTGTGAGGAAGGTGATGTTTTCTTCTGTACTGTCGTGCCTCTTTCCTTCAGCTGTGCTGTGAGGCCCAGAGCCGGCGTGATTCCTTTAGGAATCTCCTGAATGGTTAGAACAGATTTTGAGACCCTAGTTCCTCCCTAGCCAACTAGGATTTAGTTATCACCAGGGAGCTCAATGGGTTACAGACAGGTCTCAGGGGGAAACTGGGTGACTCCCATTCTGTCTGAAGACCGGTGAATCATGGGAGACAGGAGAATTGGCAAGAATCAGCCATTTAGGAGTTTGCAGGGACCGTGTTGCAATCAGCGTTGAGTTTGTCACGTGGCTACACAGGTGACATGCTCTTGTGTGTATCCTGGAACTTAATCTTCATCGGCTCTGGGATAGCCAGTTTTAACAGGGCTCAGTAGGACATGCGGATGTTCATGGAATCCTTGGAGCTGACTTTGGGTCAGAACCAGCTCTGCCATGGCATCGACACAGGCTGACCCCCCCCCCTGCCCCACGCAGGCCCCGGATGACAGTGTCTTATGGGCTGGAATAGAGGACTGTGATTTGTCAGAAGCCGGGAGCGCTTTGAGGGCATGAGTGTGGCTGAGAAACGTGTGCACCTTGGGCGCGTGCTGCTCACCCTGTCACGGGGCTGTCTGTCACGGGGCTGTCTCTGCCAGGCTACAGCATGGTGCCACCCCGTCAGGTACCATTCTCCCACCCGGTTTTGACACACATACCGTTTTCCTGATGGTGGCTGCGGCTGTCATTGACGCCTCATCGCTCTCTGCTGAAGCCTCCAGCCGTCCGTTCGGGAGGCTCCATCAGGCTAGTGGGACATCCTGTCCGTGTACAGCAGCTCCCGCTACATCCGCAGGCAGGGAAGGACACGCTCACCTTACCCTGGGCTTTTGTGTCCTAGTTCCTGACAGGCAGCAGGCCCTGCTCAGAGGTTTTATAGCCAGCTTCTGAGCTGAGACAGGAGGCAGAAAAGACAAATAAAGGCCAGGAAACCATTTGTAATGCAATAAAGCAGATAGCACAAGCATTTAAAGCCGTCTGGGCATAAAGGCACTGACGTCCTTTCTCAAGCCATTCAAAACCTTGGTGTGGGGAGTGCTGCCAAGGTAATGATGGGGGGCAGGAGGAAAGGCGCTGAAGCTAGAAGGATAATGGGCCTTCCACAGATGGTGCTGCCATGCCGTTGGATAGAAGGCCTGATTGCCTTCTCGACAACTGGCTTGCTTCGCCTCTGAGGACTGATGCCTCCATCCACTGCCTCCAGCTCTGACCAGAGAGGAGAGAGGAGATGTCTTAAAATTGCTTTTTCTGCTTCAACCTAGACCTCTCTCTCAAAAAGTAGACCAGAGGTTGGTGAGAATGGCTGTAAGAAGCAGTTGTTGCAGGGCCCCCTGCTCCGTCTGAGCATGAGTCACCCAGGAACCGGGACCGTAGGAGTGGCAGGAGGCATTCCGCATCCTCTGCCTTGCAAGGGCACCAGGGGCTAATTGTACAGGCGGTGCTATGTACATGAGAGTTGTGCTGTAGAAGCTCAGCTGTGCTGCAGCCGCCCGCTGCAGGTTCAGGTCACCTGGGGGCGCTGCTGAGGGTCTGGAGCTAGGGGTTGTCACACTCCCAGGGCCTGTCCATGCACTCTTGGGCCACTCAGTAGGGAGGTTGTAGACAGAGTCGCTGGATGTGAGTCCTTAATGTTGAGGCCTGGGTGATAAGTGACCCAGATAAGCAAGGAGATCCTCATGCCCTTTAAAATATCAGGAGCTTACCATGTTCTTTCTCAAGATTTGTGCGTGCGTGCGTGCACTCGTGAGCGCTCCCCAGTGCTTGCATATGCACATGTTCATGCCACACGTTTGCAGTTGCCTGCAGAGCTGGAGGAGGGCACCAGATGCTTTGGGGCTGGAATTTCGGCAGTTTTAAGTTGACTGGCATGGGTCTGAAGCCTGGGTCCTCTGCAGGAACAGGCACCTTAACCTCCAAGTCACCTCTCCAGCCTAGGCTTGATCAGTTTTAGTTTGCCTGTCTTTCTCTTTTTTTTTCTTTTAAAATTTAAATTAGAAACAAGCATTTTTTTTTTTTTTTTTTTTTTACACATCAATCCTAGTTCCCTTTCCCTCCCCTCCTCCCCTGCCCCCCATCCATCCCCTATCCCATCCCCTTTCTGCTCCCCAGGGAGGGTGACGCCTTCCATAGGGATCTTCAAAGTCTGTTACATCATTTGGAGCAGGGCCTAGACCCTCCTCCGGGTGTTTAGGCTGGGAGAGGATCCATCTGTGTGGAATGGGCTCCCAAAGTCCATTTGTGCCCTAGGGACAAACACTGACCCTCTGCCTGAGGCCCCATAGACTGCCCAGGCCTTCTAACTAAAACCTTGTTCAGTTGTGTTTCTTTTCATTAGTCAGCCATGTTGCCGCTCCAAACATTTGCTGTCCTGGGCGTCTTCTAACCCTCAAGCCCTTGTTGGAAGCCACTCATGACCTCAGTAAAAGCTGTGGATTTGATGTAGGAATACTGGCTTTGTAGCCGGTGTTGTGAGTAACCATAATGTCAGGGTAGGAATCAGTTGCCTCCTGTAGGTCCACATGCAGGGAAGAGCCCCACTCTGTCACGGGCCTCTTCTTTCGGGGAGTTGTGTGGCCTGGTGAGGGAAGATAGGATGTCTGGAGGGTTGGCTGGCACAGGGCAGACATCTGGCAGCCTTGTTTAGTTGCACGGTTTCACTTGATTTGGGTGTTAATTTTCTTGGTTTATAAATGGTGGTGCTGACTAAGAAATGCAGCTACTTGCCCCAAGTCCTCAAAGGAGCTAGCTAGTACCTAAGCCATGGTCTGTCTGACTTCTAATACAAGGCAGTTGCATTAGGTCTTCGAAGGTCCACGCATGCCTGAGACATGTGGACCTGCTCTGGTGTCTTGTCCAATGTTGTCACACACTCCAGAGTCTGGGCTCAGTTCTGGGATTTTGATTTCTTAAAAACATTTTTAATGATTTATTTGTTTTATGTACAATAGTGTTTTGCCTGCATGCATAGCTATGTGAGGGTGTTAGATGCCCTGGAACTGGAGTTACAGACAGTTGTGAGCTGCCATGTAGATGCTGGGAATTGAACCCGTCCTCTGGAAGAGCAGCCAGTGTTTTTAACTGCTGCTCCATCTCTCCAGTCCTCCAGGAGCTTGATTTTATTTATTTATTTATTTATTTATTTATTTTTGTGGATCCCATGTTGAGCTCTCATTGGCCAAATTTGCAAGAGGCTGATGTTTGAAGCTCTTGAGTAGCAGCGCTTGCTGATGTGAGAAATAGAACTGTGGGCAGATTTAGACTCAGGTGGGCAGACTAGCCCATCCATCCCTCTTGGGAGAGCAGATCTGTGTGGCTGTTGCCGGGGGAGGAGAGATTTCCCTGTGTGGAGTTGGTCCACTGCAGCTTCCTACAGAGAAGTCCAGTGTGGAGGCTGGAGAGGTGGCTCAGAGGTTAAGAGCACTGGCTGCTTTTCCAAAGGTCCTGAGTTCAATTCCCAGCAACCACATGGTGGCTCAACAACCATCTGTAATGAGATCTGGTGCCCTCTTCTGGCCTGCAAATGTATATGCAGGTAAAACACTGTATATATAATAAGTAAATCTTAATAAAATAAAAGTCCAGTGTGAAAGGCGGCCCTGTTCTCTGTCTTCATCGTATCAGCCTTGACCTCAAAGGGTTGTGAAAGTTGGCTGGAGTCTGGCCTTCTGTACCCATGAGGGGCAAAAATGAGACACCTGCTTGATCCCAAGTTTCTTTCCAGACCCATAGCCTGTGACTGGGTTCTCAACTTGAGGGGAAGAAGGAACAGCCCCCTAAGTTTAGAGGGTGCTGGAAGAAAGCTGCATCAGCCATAGTGTTGGGATCTTGGGGTGGGGTGTACCTAACTCAGCTAGCCCTGTGGGCTGAGCTGGGCACCTGGCCAGGGTTATGTGTAGACAAAGCATGCTCAGTCACACAGCTGTGATGGGGTAGCCATTGGCTCAGACACTTTTACATTACAGGGACTCCAACTGGCCTCGGAGGCAGTTGGATAGATTTCACCCATTTCCATTCTTGCCACAGATTCTATGGAAGTGAAACCCATCATGACCAGGAAATTGCGGAGGCGACCAAATGATCCTGTCCCCATTCCAGACAAGAGGAGAAAACCAGCTCCTGATATCCATTTGCATCAAGCTTGAATCATATCAGATCCTTTGCTTATCCACTCGATAGTGTATACAGAGCCAGCATCCCACAAAATAGCAGTAATATTGGACAGGAAAGCATATGTGATGTATTTACCCACAGGGCAAGTTGGCCATTTTGCACTGGAGTGTTCAACTGTTGCTTTTTGTGGGAGAGATTTCCCACAGATGGATATGTGGAAAGACACTCTGTGTTTTAACATTCTTTCCAGGTAGGGGCAACTTAGAATGAGATGTGTAAGTGAAGGACAGACTACCTGTCATGGTCCTAGTAACCTGCCTCTATACTAGAGGGCTGCAGACTGCAGAGGTCTACCAGTTACCTGCCTCTACAGCAGTGAGCTGCAGACTGCAGAGGTCTACCAGTTATCTGCCTCTACAGCAATGGGCTGTGGACTGTAGATGTCTACCAGTTACCTGCCTCTACAGCAATGGGCTGCAGGCTGCAGAGGTCTACCAGTTACCTGCCTCTACAGCAGTGGGCTGCAGGCTGCAGAGGTCTACCAGTTACCTGCCTCTACAGCAATGGGCTGTGGACTGTACCAAAAGTAGATAAGGTGTTTATGGAAAGAAGCTGTGTAGACATAGACATGGCCAGTGGGCCAGCATAGAGTAGCTGTTTCTGTCCCTCTTCCGATTTGGCCAGAGTGGGTCTGTACTTGGTGTGTCACCAGCAGGGGGTGTACTCCAGATCCCTTCACCTTTGCATGATTTTAGTCACTGTGGGACTAGGTTTCACTGTATGCCTGGAAGCCTTTAAATCTGGGGCAGAATGTTTTCTAAACTGAGGTGAAATTGTCAGCTTACTCCTGTGTTCTCGCCGCTGCCGACACCTAATGAACAGCTCCCTTTCCCATCAGAGCAGGCTGTATGGTGGGAGAATGGCGAGTTCTTCCCTATGCCCAGTGGCCATGACAACTATTTAAAAGGCAAGTTCTTGCCTTGAGAACAGTATTTACTTACCGTGGGCCTCGCCGGCCCCAAAGTGTCAGGAGCATGGAATGTGTCCGTCTCCTTGGAAGCTGTGCATTTCCACATGTTCCTTTAACTCTAGCACCCCAGCTAAACTATTTGTTAACGGATGAGCAGATCATGGAGGATCTGAGAACGTTAAACAAGGTACAGTTGAATGTTCTTGATGTTTCTGGAAGCTCGTGCTTTGACGTAATTTCCTGTGTCGCTTTGTTCCCCTGTCACTCGTTAAAGTCACCGTGACATCTCTGACACTTTAAGTTGCTTCTGAAATGATTTTCTCTGAGACTTTTTTGTTGTTATTCTTCCTACAGCTTAAGTCACCCAAGAGACCAGGTGAGTGCTTGATGACAATGCCAGTCCCTGTGTCCCGTCGCCGGAAGAGCATGTGTGGGGTTTTCAATAGTGAATTGCTCATTATTTGCCTGCAAGAAGTCATGAAAAGCAACGGGAGCCCTAAACATGCCTCTCCCGTGTTGTTTTATTATGAAGGAGACAGTTGATTGGCTGTTGGAGGTTCCCTTCTATGTAGGTGTCAGGCACTAAGTTCTGAACATGAAACCATAGGAATGTTCAGTGTCTTGGGCTTTCTATAGCTCAGCCCCCTGCATTACCAGTCCAGCGATGGTCTGGTCCTGGTGTGGCCCTCAGACTGCTCCTAGCTTTTATTAGTAGATGGAGCAGAAGCCCTTGAGACGTTCAAGAATTTTTGAGCTATGCTGATTGGATATCCACAATAAGTCTAGGATCATTGTGGTGACCTTCTGTCTAGGGACCAGATTGGGGATGCTCATGCAGTCAACACCAGTGGCCCCCGTGAATAGCCAGTGAGTGGCCCCTGTGAATAGCCAGTGAGTGGCCCCCATGAATAGCCAGTGAGTGGCCCCGTGAATAGCCAGTGAGTGGCCCCTGTGAATAGCCAGTGGGCTCAACCCAGGCTACACAGCGACTGTCTATAAATACAACTGAAGGACTTGTTGGTCAAGGTTGTTTTCATGTTCTGGTGGTGTCATTGTGGGTGTCATGTTCAGGCCCAGATTCACTGTGTGCTCGTCATCTTGGTATCTCTGATTCCTCCAGCTTCCCCGTCCTCTCCTGAACACTTGCCTGCTACGCCTGCAGAGTCTCCAGCCCAGAGATTTGAAGCTCGGATAGAAGATGGCAAGCTGTACTATGATAAAAGATGGTAAGTTGTAAGGAATGTGGACTACTCATGGTCTCAGAAGAACTGTTTGGAGGGTTGGGGTCGTGTGAGCTGCTATGTCTCATATTTTCTCAACTTAGATTTTTGTGTATTTGTTTAATTTCTTTTGGCAGTGCTGGGGCTCTGGCCCAGATTTAGAGTCTTCAGTGAGATTCCACTTGAGGACTCTTGAGTGGCCAGCTTGTGGATGCCTCCATGAGGTCTCTGAGAGCAATCCTGCATCATGTTGTCTCTATGCTAGAGTTTTTAGGTTGTGTCTGTCTAGCCATGACGGGTGTATGTCTACTCTGCCCCTCTGTGTTGACTGTCCCTGTCTAGCCATGATGGGTACATGTCTACCCTGCCCTTCTGTGTACTCAAGGTTGCAGGAGAAAAGAATTTTGTAATCTGGCCAGGTTAGGGGAGGGTCCTGCTGCCTAAGCTGAGTGGGCTTCCTCTCAAAGGTACGAGTTTCTCACATGTAAGATGCACTTTATTTGATAGCTGTACTCTTTTCTTGGACATCATCCCAGCTTCCAAGGTGTTCCGGGAAGTGTAGTTGGGAAATGACATTCTAAAACACGGCTAGTTTAGGTGGAGGCTACTTGTAGCTTTCAGACTGCTGTGACTTTCACTGGAAACAATAGAAAGGGGCTGGAGACACTCACATCTGTTCATTCGAGCAACACTGGTTAGACATCGTACAGTAAATTGCCATTAATTCTGCCGTCTTCTCTAAGGTCTTTGAGTTCTGCTGTACAGGGCTGTTATTGAGTGTTTGTGTGCAGGCAGGCGCCGTAGGTGGGCATGGCTACACTCTGACACTCTGTTGGCTGTATGGAGGGGCTGCGGGTCACTAGAGGGACCACTCATAATGGCCCGTGATAACTCTTGTTTCAGTGTCTATTTAGCTAAAAGTTGGCACGTGAGAGTGACGGTGTGACCGTGTGAGTTAACGTTAGTCATACTGTCTGTTGTTACCTCGCTTTCTGAGGTGGGTCCCAGGACCCCAGATGCCAAGATCATGATGTGTAGTTCTCTGCACAAAACTAGTGTGCACACTCAAACTAATCCCGGGCCTGGCGAGGGGGCTAAGCAGGTCAGAACGCGCCTGTGCAGGCCTGGCGACCTAGATTCCGTCTCCGAAGCCCACACTGGAAGGTGAGAACCCGTTCCTAAAGCTGTCCTCTGACCGCCCCACTCTCAAATGTAAAGACTATATGGATATAGTATAAATGTTGTGTAGATATATCATGTTTAATCGTCAGATTCCCAGTGTTAACGTCACTTTGACATTCGGGGCTTACTTTCCAAGGCGTATGTTAATTTGGGTATTTTTCCACCCAAATGCTTGTGTATGTAGTTGGCCAAATCCGGGCTGTGAAACCTTCCTTGCAGACAGTTCTGTCAAAAGCATAGAGGTCAGGTCAGGCCTAGACAGCTTGTCAGCCCGCATCGGTGACTTCTTCCCCACACAGGTGGCTCTTCTCTGGCCTCCTTCCAGAAGGTCTAGAACAATGTACCACCACTAGGTGGCAGGCTCTAGCTGCTCAGCAGTAAGGGCAGAGCGAGGTTAAGAAAAAATGTTTGTAATAATGAAACCAAATAACCTTTAAAGATCAGGCCCGCACATGGAATGGCCTTTGGGGACGGCGAGACTTATGGTTATGGCTCCATGGGTTCGTGGGTCTTGCAGCCAGTGTGATATTTCAGAGCGTGTTCATTTTGTAACTGTGGCTTCCTCTCTCCGTCTTCCTGGATTTGGTTCTGAGACTGAGACACGTCTTGAGGAAGAAAATGTAAGATAATTTTCTTCTTAAAGGAGGGACCCATGGAACTATTAGCGGTAGCTTCTGAACAGTCACCTTTTTGCCTAATATCAGAGTTGTGCGGTGTGCTGTTAAACACGTTTCACAGACGCCATTTTCTTTCTGGGTTTAGTGCTGCTCCTCTTTGGTTTCTGAAGTCTGAGCCGCTATCAGGCCACTGGCACCTGGGTCTGCCTTGCCTTGTCTGTATTGCAAGGGTCTGGGAGTCCCATCTTGAGGTCTCATCTGCCCAGAACCAGCATGTCACCTCCGTCAGGGTCCGGGCATTCAGCTTGTGTTCCTTTGTCTCTGAGAGTTTCGTTTGTTTTTCCTTCATCTGCTAACATGGCCTGGCTAAGAGAGCTTCTGAGTCCTGGGCGTCCCTTCCACAGGTGGGGTGCTTTAGTGGCATCAGCAGCACAGTGCTGGGCAGGGTTCCATCTTGGCGTGGTCCAGCTGCGTGCGTCCCTGACTTTGCCTCGGACCCCTGCCTTCATGTCAGTGGGCTTGTGCTATCAGTTTGCCTTATGTTTTGATTTAGACTAATGACCCCTTGCGGAAGACACTCTGCAAAGAGCTGAGATTTTAAAATAGCTAGCTGAGACGCTGCAGGGTGTGTGCAGTTTTCCTCCCTCCCTCCCCCTCCCCCCACACCCCCCTGCACACACTTGAAATCTGGAACTGCTGATGTGAGCAGAGATGGATTCACTCTTTGCTGAGTAGATTAACCCTCTAGCTGCCAGCTGACCCCATTTCCGGCCCCATGAACCTCTGGAGCTGTGACAAAGGTCAGGTTTGGGAAGTTAATGTTATTATGTTAATATCAGGGTTCCCTGTAGTATGTAGAACTCAGTTGCTTCTGCCCACTCCACATCCCTTTGGACCTACCAAAAAGTAACCACCCAGGTTTGCTGGGCCAGCATCAAGAGGCCCAGTGTGTTAGGGTCTTAAGTGGGGGTCCCAGCTCAGAATTCCCATTAGTAAGAGGTCAGTCCGCCATGCAGGGCTCAGTTTCAGACCAACGTGTTTTGTTTGGCAGCTAAACTAAACCTTATTTGAACACTATAATTTCTGAGTACTTAACTTTTTGAAGACTTTAATAGAATTCAAAGAATTTAACTGATTTGATATTCAGGATAACAGTTCCCCAAGACCACTGTGGGGTGTGTGAGAAACCCCCTGGAGATTGAGGGCCAGTTGTTTTGGAAGGCTGCCCAGCCAGGGCTGTGGTGGACACTGTCCCCCACCCTGTGACAGGAGGCCAGGTGGCTGGCTACTCCTGATGTCTAGAGCAAAGTCGGTCTCATGAGATCTGTTGGATGACTTCTGAGCCAGCCATTTCAGCAGACCCTCGGGGTTCTGTTGGCTGTGTTCCTGTTTACTCTGGTGCCACCATGGCTCAAATATCTACCTTCCTGCGTGAAGACATGTGCTTATTGAAGCTGGGAGAGTCACAGTAAAGTGTGAACGTGAGGACCTGAGTTCGGATCCCCAGCACCCATGTAAACGGCTGGACATGGCGCCTCCCCCCCCCCATCATTGTGCTGGGGACACAGCGATAGAAGGACCTCCTGGAGTTCATGTGACAGCCAGTTTAGCAGAATCGGAGAGTCCAGGTTTAGTTCTCTTCCTGTCTCAAAGAAACAAGGTAGAAAATGATTGAGGACACCCAGTGTTGACCTCTGGCATACACACAAACACACACACACACACACACACACACACACACACACACACACACACGAACGCACGCTCACACATGCACATACACATAATGCATGCACATACACATACATGCATGCACACTCACACATGTACACACATACATCTATTTATTGTAGAGAAGTAAAAGCTATGCAATAAAAATAATAACACAATTTGTATTTTATAGGTTTTATTTAATGGAAGTTTACTCCAGTTTTTCTCTGTGTGTATAATATGCGTTTTATTACCAATGCTGTACCATAGTGGATGTTGTATTTCCACTCAGCCCCATACAGAGTTCTCTTCCAGGCTAGTGACACTATGCATTCCCTTGTGACATACGTTATTCAAGTTTTGGAAAGGAGAATTAGAACGACTGGCCAGCTGTGTTCTATTTCATGTCTGTATGATGACTCGGTCCCCTTAGTGCCTCCTTGGGTCCCACCCTCCCTCTTCTGAAGGCTGTCATTGACTACAGAGAAGCCAAGGGAAGTGTGTGTTGCCATGAATAGTTGGCCCCCTCATGCTGTGCGATGCGCGCTGTGGTCTTTGTGATAGCCCCGTGTAGCATAATGAGGCTTTTCTGGCCAGCAACAGTAGCATAAAAACTTGAAACTCAGCCAGCCTCCTGCTGCAGTTATTTATGATCCACGCCCTTCCAGCAGCGTTCTCAGGGAGCACATTGACCCGGAAGCCCAAGAGCTTAGCTCCCAAGTCCATCCTGGGTGCAGCCAGACCTGGGTAGTAATTCTTTCACTGTTCCCGTTGGTCTGCGACTTTCCCCAAAGATGCAGCGCCCTCCTGGGGGTCATGCTTTGCACAGTTCATAGGAGCGTGAGGGTCTCTGCCAGAATTGTGGAGCGAGTGAGCCAGAGGTTATGGTCCTGGCTGTCTGTGGCCTGGGAGCAGTTGCGATTTCACCCTGTTGTCCCGTTTGGGCTTTGGCCCGGCTCTCTCTATCCTTGGTCTGATGCTGAGCTTGGGTAAGTTGGGCATAGGGCACCCTGCAGGGCAGAGAGCCTGTGCGGGGAAGAATGACCTGCTGTTCCTGTTCACAGCCTTCCTAGCTGTCCTGGCCAGAGTGGGCCAAGGCAGAAGCTCTTAGCTACTGCTTGTGTTGGGACCTTGAGCTGTGCCTGCTTGGTGTCTGCCACCATTTAAATGTCCCTGTGTTGTGTTGAAAGGGCCTAGAGAGTAAGGACCTTGTAGCTTGTCCCCCAACCCCAAGCCCAGTCAGTGATAAATACTACAAGTGTCTCATGAGTCCTTTTCAATGAATGGCTAAAATAAGGATGGATGCACAGTTCCTTCTTGTTGATGACGTGGGTGGACAAAGTAGAAGATCAGTCCCCAACCCTTGCTTGTTCAGAGCAGCCAGCCTTGTGCAGTGCTTGGGGATGAGGCCAGAAAGGACAACAGATAATGACCTTTAAGTTTCTAAATTTTCAAACTTGGTCCTGTAGTCCCAGAAATGAAGTCAATCATAGCTGAGTGTGCTGGTTTTCCTTAGGCCTGTAACCCAGCTACTGTGGGAGGTTGAGTCCGAAGGATTGCATTTTTAAGACTAGCTTTGGTCACTTAGTGAAACTTTCAAAATAAAAAACAAGGTGGGCTGGGCATATGGCTCCATGGTGGAACACTGGCCTAGGGAGTCAGCTCCATGGTGGAGCACTCACCTAGGTTACAGTAGGTTCTGAGTTCAGCCTCCAGGAACACCTAGAGAAGGCAGATTACAAGGCTCTCCAACCTCCCTCTGAGCCTTTTGTTTCCCTTCACAGAGGGTGAAGATAAGTTTTGGATCCACAAGATTGGAGGCTTCTAGTCTCAAGGTGAAAGCTTATCTGCCTTCTGAAGTCAGCCCATGCTCTTCCTTGCTTACCCTGTCACTAAGATTCCTGGAGGAATGAATGGTTTCTGTCATTGGTGTTTTAACCCCCCCACCCTGATTTTTTTTTTTTTTTTTTTAATATGTGTGTGTCTTGTTTTTCACAGGTACCACAAGAGCCAAGCCATCTACCTAGAATCAAAGGACAACCAGAAACTGAGTTGTGTCATCAGCTCGGTGGGAGCCAATGAGGTAGGGACCAGATTTCTTCCCCCTGAGGAGAGCAAACTGCTCTGAGAAGTGTGGAAAATTCTACAGACACAACGGAAAGCCCCACTCGAAAGCCCCCTGGAGTCCTGTCTCACGTGGGTTGGGTCAGCATTGTTGGGGGAAACTGCCCCCACACAGTCACCCTTGAACCCGATTGCCTGCCTGAGCCAGTCCCTGCAGCCCCATGTGCTGTGGGGACCATGACGCCGCTCCTGTGCAGCTACTGGTTTGGGAGCCACTGAGCCGACGACAGTGGCGGAGAGCAGAAGACAGGTGCCCTGGCGAGGCCGTGCGCCGACAGAGGAGCTTGTCTGTGGAGAGAACTTGCCTTGTTTCAGTATTTATTTAGGACTTCCCCTCCTACACACCCGTGGACTTGTTTCTTCTCTGAGGCTTAGTGGGGTACTAGACCAAGGCCCAGCACCCAGGAAATGCTCCGTAAATGGGTGCTGGTGTTGCCAGCCTGCAACTCCTGGCTGTTTTTCAGTCTGACTAACAGTGAGCTGCCAGGCCTGCCTCTCGGAGCACTTCCTACAGAATTAGTTAGGTCTGGATTCAGAGCTGCTGAGTGTGCTACCCGAGGGTGCTGGGACCGTCCCGGGGCTCCCTCGGCCCTTCGTTAATCAGGAAGGTGTCAGCAGTGTCTCACATACACTATAAGAAGTCTTAAAATGTGTGACACTTTAATAGCTGCATTGGCCTGATCTTTTATCAGCCCACCAATGTCTGCCAAGAAATTCATTTTTCTGTGTCTCCCCTCCGTTAGTGAATTGTGCCAGTGCTCGGTAAATCTAAAGAAATAACCTCAGCCTCTGGTATTCTCTCTGAATCGAAAATGCCCTCACACGTGACCGGTTTGCAAAATGATAGTTTGCTTGGCTGTTGGGGACAGCCCCCGATGCAGGAGTACCATTTTCTTCCCCAGGCTGAGTTCATGACAGTTGCCTCCAAGCCGGAACCAGAATGGGGCTTGACCGGAAAGAGGTTCACACTCCCCAGCCAAGAGGCCTTGTGGTTGTATGGTGGGCTGCCGTGCAGAGCACACAGGCCCCTCTAGGACCTAATGACGACCATCACATTCTTTCAGAGTGCCAGTGAGGTCCAGTGAGCCAGTGTTCATGCAGGCCCTTCAGCTTGTGTCAAGTTTTATGATGTGTGTTCTGCTTAGCATCTTTCTGTCACCAGTAATCCCACTAGACATGAAGCCAGGCTGAGAGTAAACATACAGCCTGAAGCCCGATTTGGGAAGGAGAATCTGTCTGCAGAGTCTGTGTGTGAGGGGCAGACTTTGGTCCAAACCTTGCTTCAGGCCAAGTCATGGAGAGCCAGTGAGGGGAAGAGCTATTTTGAGGCAAAGCACCCCATGGTATACCCCACCGGGCTGGTGACTCAAGTACCTACACCCCACCCCGCCACACCCCACCACACCACACCCCACAGGAGGGGCCAAGGGCTTGGCGAGGCAGGAGGACCATCCTCAGCTCTTTAGCAATGGAAGGTGAAGCGAGGGAGAATTTCCTTGGGGCAAGGAAAATATTTTTAAATAGGTTTGAAAAGCTGCTGTCCCTGAGTGCGCATCTTTTGGGTGTTGACAAACACAATCACCCAGCCCCTGCCTCACTCCCCCACCGCCTCTCCTGTCCCCACAGATCTGGGTGAGGAAGACCAGCGACAGTACCAAGATGAGGATCTACCTGGGCCAGCTGCAGCGTGGGCTCTTTGTGATCCGCCGGCGGTCAGCGGCTTGACTTTTTCTGCGCGCTTCCTCTCCCCTTGACCCCTTTTCTGGAGTGGTTTTTATTTTTGTTTTGTTTTCTTCTCAATAGAAAATTCTTAACTTACCGGGACTAGCTACTTGGCCTGGGACATGGAGAGCACTGTGGAATCGTCAAGGCACTGACTCACATGGCCGGCCACTTCCGTGTCTGTACCGTTCTTTCCTGCCTCGGCTCCTTCCAGACTCAGTCAGCAGAGACTTACTTTCAGGAGTGTTGGGGGCCTCATCCACTTTCCTTTTAAGTCCTTAATTTTTATTTTATTATTTTTTTGTTTGTTTTTGTTTTTACTTGATCCTTTTTTTTTTTTTTAAACCCTCCTTTGAGTTCGAAGGGGAGTCCCTTTTAATAAGTATCTTGAGGTCTTTCTCCCAAGAAGAGCAGTGTGTTCTCCTGTCTGAATCTGATGGGTGGATTGTGTGCCTGCTCCCCTTGTTAGGCCCAGAAGTGTGGGGCGGCAGAGTTCTCTTTCCTCTGTCTTCTTGGAGAAATAAACGATGTGTGACATCTCACCCGCCTTGCGCTTCTCGGTGGCCGAGCGACGGAGCTCCAGCCCTCACTCCAGGGACTGCATCCAATGGATGGGGCTGGGAGAGGGACCGTCGCCCGTTCCTAACGCTGGAGTTGCCACTCTCTGAATGTTCTTGAATGCACATGATTTATTTAGACAGCCTGTCCTTGCTCAGGGTGGAGGAAGTGGTAATTTCAGAAGTTTCCGTTTGTAATTCCTCTCTCCAGCTCCCAATGACCAGAAGGACGATCGCGTGCCGCACCGTGGTCTGGGTTTTCTCAGCTAGTTTACGTGGCAAGGGTGGGTGTTGCAGTAACCAGTCTGTTGTTGCTGGACCCACCACAGAGCCCCCAACCTCCCCTGGAGCCTGCCCATGTTGGTGACAGGGAGAGCAGAGCGCTTTCATGCCGCAGCCACCGAGTCTGTGTGCTTTCTCTTGAGAAGCCACCTGTCACGGCCCCCTGTTCCTCCCCGGCCCTTCTGTTGGAGAAATGACTCACAGACAGGGCAGGGGATGCTTTCTGCTCTAGCTGTCATGTGTGAAGAGGCAGGTCAGAACAACTGTCACCATCTCTCTGGACTTCCAATAGGCTGTCCATATTTTAGAATCCCTGCCCCTCTCCCGACAGGATTTCTGTGTGCAGCCCTGGCTGTCCAGCTACTCACTCTGTAGACCAGGCTGGTCTTGAACTCAGAGATCTGCCTGCCTCTGTCTCTTTAATTTTGGGATTAAAGGCGTGCGCCACCACTGCCTGGCTTTTAGGAATCTTTACGAGTAATCTGTTTGCTCTTAGTCCCTTGGACTCCGCTCAAGTTGACTCTCCATGTAGATAGCCACAGTGGTTGTGACTTGTTAAGGAAAGACTTGTATAGACCTATTGTTTTAATTTATATCCATTCTCTCATTGGAATTTTTAAGAAACCATGATAAACGATGATGTTTATTAATTAAAACTTGCCAAGTGGTCTGTTTCTTCTCTGCTGTCTGCCCACCCCACTGTCGCCACGGGTATGCTGAAGATTCTTCATCGTGAATCCTACTTTGTCACATGCTCACTGCAGCCAGCAAAGCCCAGGGTAAGCAGAGGTTTCCATGGGTGTGCTCAGTGGCCTGAGTTCCCATGGCTTTCCAGTAGTGTGGGGCCCGAGTGAGACTAGCAAGATGTGTCCTCTCCACCTTGCCCGGTGGCCGCATTGTACTTTTGTGAAGTAAATTTAAGACCAGGATGTGGGTACCTTTGCCTTCTGTAACTTCAGAGGTCATCTGGGGCCATTCTTACACATGACCTTGACTGCCTGCCCAGTGTCCTAAGAAGCCATGAAGGGGACTTGAGGAACAGCCTCAGAAGATTAATATTCCAGATCCCAGAACGCTGAGTGACAAATCGGTAGTTCTGTCCTCCTAGGGCTCTATTTGTGGACAGAGACCCTTCAGTGGGGAGCAGAGGTTTAACGGGGAAGTATGTAGATGGCTGGAGGAGTGGGAGGCTGGCCTTCAGCCTGGTGACTGTTAGAATGCCTCAAGGTCCTTGTCTCTCCATAGACCCCAGCACTGTAGACCTCGAATCCAACCGTCCCCAGGCAGGTTCTGATGCTGTTTGCGTCAGGGTGTTCTCTTCCAGTGTTAGCGGGCCCACACGTCCATAGTGTCAACCTCTGCTGTGGGGTGTCTCCGTGTGTCCGTCTCCTCTTAGCAGGCTTCTAGATAGATTTCCATAGCCATAACCAAAGCAGGGGGTGTTTCCCATGGAGTGCTAGTATTTAATGGTTGTCCAACTACCATTGTGATTGTTGTCTCTAAACTTGTAAGTAGGTCCATGGAAGGCCCTAGATCCTTCAGGTTAAACTACAGATCCTGTGTGGCCCCTGTGCAGGACTGGGTGGCTTTTTAAGTGAAATGGGGCTGTGTGTGTGTGTGTGGGGGGGGGTTAATAGATAAGGTTGATTCCATTTCTTAAAGGAATTGGAGAGGGCTGAATCCTTTTTACAGTATTTTCTGTTTCTCATTTTTTTTCTTTAATTTTTATTTTTTCTTGACTTTTCAGTAGGTAATCTCATTTAAGAATTTTACCTCTCATCTGGTGATCTGGAATCTCGTCCTTGGTATCTCACCAGCATTTCCAAAGAGCCCAAACCATTTTAAGTTACGGTAAATTGGCAAGCAGCTGGAGGGCTTTCCATAACACCATTACTTGGTACCACTTAAATGTTCTGCCTGGCGAATGTCAGTTTATAAAAATAATTTTAAAAGTATAGGTTCTCCTGAGTAATAAAGATTCAAAAAGAGAGCCGTGGAGGCCGTTGGGTTGGTTGGCTTGCCGAGTGATGGGAATTTATTTTAGGTTTTCCTCCCACTGAGCATGGGAACGGGTTTGTGGGCAGAGGGTGGGTGTTCTGAGGTGATATTGAAAAGCTTTAGAACCCTTGTAAAGCACAGTAGGGGGGGGTCGCCCCTCAAATCCCGTGATTGGGGCATAACATGCACTTAGAGATGAGACATGATTGGATTGGGTGGAAAACCTTAGAAGTGGACTCATGGGTCAGGACCTCTGGAAGAGCAGCCAATGCTCTCAACTGCTGAGCCCTTTCTCCAGCCAAGGTGGTAGAATATTTTAAGACGTGGTTCCCAGGGTCATTGTGAGAGTCCTTGAAAGGCATTGTGAGCTTGGGGCTGGAGAGATGGCTCAGAGGTAAAGAGAACTGGCTGCTCTTCCAGAGGTCCTGAGTTCAATTCCGAGCAACCACATGGTGGCTCATAACAATTTTTAATAATATCTGGTGCCCTCTTCTGTTCTGCAGGCATTCATGCAGTACAGAATACTGTTCACATAATAAGCAAAATGATTTGGAAAAAAAAAAAAAAAAAAAAAAAAAGGGCTTGTGGGATGTAACGAGTACGGTTTTTCCTCCTGCCGCCGCCTGGTCTTGTCCTGCTGCCATGCCAGCCCCAAATAATACACAGAGACTCTGTATTTGATATAATCTTGTTGGCCAGTTACTAGTTTCTTATTGGCTAGCTCTGCCTTAGTTATTAACCCATTTCTGCTGATCTATGTATTTCTCTTACCGGGGAGCCGGCGGCATACTGCTTTCTTCAGACTCTCCATCTTGACTCCTCCTTCCTACTTCCTATTTCCTCCTTGTCTCCTAGTCCCTCCTATCTTCCTTTCCTATTGGCCAACAGTGCTTTATTATTAACCAGTATGAGAAACATACAGAATGACCTCTCCCATCATCTCCTCTTTTCTGTCTAAATAAAAAGAAGGGTTTTAACCTTAACATAGCAAAATATATTATACAACAGTTATCAAGTAACAATCACAGTTAACAACATTTAGTCCATTAACATTTAGCAAGATTTGAAGAAAATATTTCATCATCTATTCTATCTTTGTGTGTCTAAAGTCTAAGTAACTTATCTTTAATCCTAACTAATGAAAACTATAACCATTACTATCTGTCTTTAACTCCTTTAAAGACCACAGAAGGATAGTATATAAACTCTAGAAATGACAGAGACAACTCACTGCCTGGTCACCCGAAGTTCTTTTGTAATCTTCCATCTTCAGCCCATAGGCCATAGTGTGTCTGGCAGACTCTTCAGCAACGCAGGAAACTTTAAACTGTCTTCTTGTATTGGCAGTTTGTCAGTCACTTTTGTCTGTGTCCTGCATGCTGTCTCGCAGACTCTTCCATGAAGTAGGATCTCTGTTAGCAATGTCCATCTTGAATCAGAAGTCACTTTCCTGTGGGTCCTGCATGTCCAGTTTATACATCACAAAGTCAAACAGTCCAGACAAGAGGAGTATCTTGTCCAAATGGCTAGTCTTGCCATATTGGAAGTAAACTCCATAATGAGTTTTTTCAATGTCCATCTTCATCTTCCTTTCTGACGCAGGTGGTGTTGCCAGGAACAATTATGTCTCATTGTCAAGAAAAACCCTAAACCATTTTAGATGCCATATTCTGTAGGTCTTTGAAAGGTTTGAAGAATGCCTATCCATCTCAAATATATGTCTGTATATCTAGAAATACTAACTAACTTAACTATAAGTTCTAACTATCATAGGTAACTATCTATAATCTATACTACATTATACATTACATTTCTAACTGAGCTCAATAAACACAATACCTAAACAAGAGGAGAAATATACATATCACCTTATTGAGCTTAAATTGTATCAATAAATGAAAATCCATTCCAAAACAAAGTATTCATATCTATACCATAATTCCCTTTTTACCTTTAAAAAGAACTGGCTGTGATCATTAACCATTTATACCCAAGTCCATTTAAATGAAAACAAACATTTATAAATATTTGGGAATTTGGGCGTCGTTCTTTCCAAACTACTTCCTGCTGATAGGGGGCGCTGTCATGGGGATCCTAAGAAGATGCAGAAATCCTGGCTGTAAGTCTGCGAGGCTGCTTTGTCCAGCTGTTTTGAATGTAGGATCACCAGCGACTGTTTCAGGGGGCCTGGCTTGCTCAAACCACCATTTGTAACGAGTACGGTTTTTCCTCCTGCCGCCGCCTGGTCTTGTCCTGCTGCCATGCCAGCCCCAAATAATACACAGAGACTCTGTATTTGATATAATCTTGTTGGCCAGTTACTAGTTTCTTATTGGCTAGCTCTGCCTTAGTTATTAACCCATTTCTGCTGATCTATGTATTTCTCTTACCGGGGAGCCGGCGGCATACTGCTTTCTTCAGACTCTCCATCTTGACTCCTCCTTCCTACTTCCTATTTCCTCCTTGTCTCCTAGTCCCTCCTATCTTCCTTTCCTATTGGCCAACAGTGCTTTATTATTAACCAGTATGAGAAACATACAGAATGACCTCTCCCATCAGTGGGATGCTAGGCAAGTGACCTTCCCACCATGACCACAGGTAATTGTCCATGGACTGAATCCCAAACTGTGCCTGAACAAACCTTTCTTCTTGTTAAGTTGCTTATCTTGGATGTGGTGTTACCATAGTGATAAGCAGGTTAACCCATGTCCTTCCATAGCTCTAGCCACACACCCAGTATGGGGCAATGACATACCAGAAATGCCAGAACCGGAAGGAAAGGACACAACCCAATGGGGGGGGGGGGTCCACCGCCACTTACCCTCCTGCTTGTGGAGGTGGATCAAGCCTGGGTGTCTGTGTATCTCAGGCAGTACTAAAACTTTTGTAGAAGGGTTTTTCACATTTACTAAGGTAGTTTGTTGCCAGAGGTTTTTTGTTTTTGTTTTTGGTTTTTTTTTTTTTTGTCCCGACAGGTTCCAACCCCCTTCATCCCCAAATGAACACACAGAGATTTATATTAATTATAAAATTGTTGACCAATGGCTAGGGCGTCCTACTGTCTAGCTGTCTCTTAATTACTAACCCATTTCTATTAATCTGAGTATTCCCATGTGGTCTCATCTTACCGGAGAATGCCCAGATCCGTTACTCCTTCCTCGGCTACATGGCGTCCCTTTGCGGTCTCTCTCTGCCTACCTTTCCCAGAATTCTCCTTGTCTCCCATCTATCTTCCTGACTCTATTGGCCAAACAGTGTTGTATTCATCAACCAGAAAGAGAAACATACATACAGAAGGACATCCCCCATCAGTAGTTGGCAAGGGGCCTTGTGCCCCCAGATTCTAGGCTGGTGAATTAACCGAGTTTCCACAAAACCCACAGTGCAGTCAGCCACGTGGAGAGCTGGGCATCCTGCATCCGGATGCTCTTTGATGTCAGCAAGCCCTCTATTGCCTTGGCCTCTGAGGGGAACTGTCATGGGAGAATGGAAGGACACAGCAGTCCTGACTCCCTGCTTCAAACTTGAGGTCCGTCTGGTGCTCTGCTTAGGTCCCAGCCTCCGGGCAGAGGCAGAGAGGCTTCTGGTCTCTGTGAAGGATGGAGTCTTCAGGCTCCATCCTTGCAGAGTCTGATAAGCACCATTCCTGCACTTTGAGCAGCCTCTGGGAGG